CTGCTGCATAGTCACACTCGGACTGGCTCCTATTCCTGAGCCTATCCCTCCCACAGTACCCCATTGCTGCATAGTCACACCTGGGCTAGGTCCTGTTCCCAAGCCCATCCCCCCTATAGTACCCCATGGTTGTATAGTCACAACTGGGCTGGGTCCTATACCTGAGCCCAGCCCCCCAATAGAGCCCCATTGCTGCATAGTCACACCTGGGCTGGCACCTGAAAACCACCCTGCTATTAGGTCAGACATGGAGGGATAAGTGATCTCAGGTGCTGCAGAGGTCGCCAGGTTCGGAAGCGTACTGGCGAGGTTCGGAGGGGCGTTCAGTTCGGGAGGCTTGGCAGCGTGTCTGGAAGGTTCGGGACGGCTGGGTTTGACTGAGTGGCAACAGGAAGGTTGGAGAGAATCCATTGAGAGGCAAGTTGAGAGGGGGCTGTGTTACTGGAGTTGGGCATTGCACCCGCTGCTGCTCTCCCAACTGCTGCTGTTGCTGCTGCAGATGAGTATAACTGCTATTCTGCTGCCCATGCCTGTTATGCTGCTCGTACTCCTGCTGTTGCCCTTGCCCACCCATCCGCTTGTCCTCCCTAAGGGATGCAGTGTGTGCAGCACCAGTGGTAGCACCAGCCACAGCACCAGTCACAGCACCAGTAGCAGCACCAGTAGCTGCACCAGTAGCAGCACCAGTAACTGCACCAGTAGCTGCACCAGTAGCTGCACCAGTAGCTGCACCAGTAGCTGCACCAGTAGCTGCACCAGTAGCAGCACCAGTAGCTGCACTATTGAATTCCATGCTGCATCCTGCTTGTTAAGTCGACTCAGAAGTCACAAAAAACCACCAAATTCACTTTGTCAGGCGAATTTGTGGTAAAGGGAGTCAAGATGCCACATCAAACACGCGTTTTTGCCGCCCTTCAGGCAAGAAATGCTGACGTGCCTGTCATTATTCGGCATTTCTGAACGTGCGGAAAGGATGTAAGTGTCAGCGCTACCGTGAGGATGTTGCTTTTATACAGAGAAGTTACTGTGAATGCATGTGGTCCCTAAACAACTCACCAACTCAAGTGAAATTGTTGTACATGAAACCCAGAATGCATGGAATGCACCTACAGCACTGTGAGAAATAGAAGCTAGACTCTATAGCGCAAATGCTGAGCACGGTTCGAGAGCCTAGATCTTAGTGCATGCCTACTGCAGCCTGCAGTAGGGACATGAGCAAAACAGCACGGATACGGGCACTGTTGCAATCCCAAAACGTTCCTTCCGACCTCCAGTGCTGCACTCAGCAGCAGGTGTCAGGGTCAACCTCTACGTCCAGAATTGTAACAGCAGTCAGCGGTCGGTCACTGGAATCTGTCTGAACATTCTCTATGGCCTGGTTGCATGGTGCCACACACACAGGGATGCACAGCACACATGCATACCCACATGCACATGCAATGCACACATGCGTACACATGTACACACATGCACTTGCATGCACACTTGCATGCACATGCACACATGCATACACATGCACATGCACACATACATGCCGACACACATACACAAGGACACATACACATGCATGCACACAGACATATGCATGCACACACACACATGCACACACACACACACATGCTCAGAGCATGATCCATGCACGCATGATCATGTCAAAGGACATGCAATGGAAGCATCAGCTGACATATCCATCGATACACGAACAGTGCGCATGAAACAAACATGACTGTGCAGAAGCACACTGCACCCTACTACAGCAAAGCACCGGTGGAACCACCACACCACGAGTGGGAGTAAGAATGATTGCAACAGATCTGAAGGAAAACGGGAGGTAGGATACAAGGAGACAGAACAAGAGGAGGAGGAGGGGGGGAAGGGCGAATTGATGGCAACCACAGGTGGATCGGAAAGAGGGGGACTAGGCCGGCCAGACAAGCGAAGCGGAAAACACACCTGCACCACGTCTTTCCCTTTAATGACAGAGCCGAAGACAGTGTGGTGGCCATTGAGGTGCGGCGTGGCAACAGTGGTAATGAAGAACTGGCTGCCGTTGGAGTCAGGGCCCGCATTGGCCATGGAGAGAGTGAACGGCTCGTGCTTCAAATGCGGGCGAATCTCGTCCTCGAATGAGCCGCCCCAGATGGACTCGCCTCCCCGCCCCGTGCCCGTGGGGTCTCCGCCCTGGATCATGAAGCCTGAGATGACTCGGTGGAAGATGATTCCCTTGTAGTACTTGTTATTGCTGGTGGGTGGGAGGCCGGGGGCAGGAGGATTAAGGGATCAGGCTGGGTGGATGAGTGACGAAGCATCTGAGTGTGAGGAAGCACCTGAGGAGCACCTGCATACAAGGAATCACCTGAGTGAAAAAGCATCTGAGTGTGAGGAAGCACCTGAAGAGCACCTGCATACGAGGAATCACCTGAGTGAAAAAGCATCTGAGTGTGAGGAAGCATCTGAATGTGATATAGCACAGGTGCAAGAGGATAAAGCACAGGTGCATGAGGATAAAGCACAGGTGCATGAGGATAAAGCACAGGTGCATGAGGATAAAGCGCCCGTGCGTGAGAAAAGCGTGAGAAATGCACCTGTGAGTGAGGAAATTCTCCACAGTCTTGGGGCAATCATCCGCATACAGCTCCACCACTATGTCGCCTAAGGACGTCTTTAATAGCTGCAGGTTGACAGGACGGCAGGACGGCAGGTCAGCAAGAAAACAACGAGGGAGAAACTCTAGAGCGATTAAGGTGGCGAAATCATGCCCGTAAACCCATGCACCCACGTTCACGCCCATCCACCCACCCGAACCCCCACCCAGACCTGCGGCGCATGTACACACCACTTTGGGAAGGCTCTTCCCCATCTCCCTTGCCTCCCCTGCCCGACTTTTGCAGCGTCTCAAAAGCCATCTATTTACCCACATGCAGCCCTACCCACATGCAGCCCTACCCACGCACCACTTTGGGGAGCTTCTTCCCAATCTCTCTTGCCTCCCCTGTTGCCCCCTGCTGCCCAGACTCCATAAGGTGCTTGCGCGATGACTGGGGGTTTGCAGGCGCATGGGAAGTAGGGTGTGGATATGGGGGGCCGCGGGGAGAAGGGAAAGGGCGGGACGGGGCACACAAGGTATTATGTGAGAAAGAGAGAGATGTAGAAACGCAGGGGAGAAGGGAGAAAGCTGGGAGGAAAGGGGTGATGCGAAAACCAAAGCACATTCTATCATGTCAGAACAGAGCTGATTGGCGAAGCAGCAGCTGTAGCAGTCGCGAGGAATCTAACTACACACGAGTGAAGCCGCTGCTGTAGCATGCAATCTAGATACGGACGAGTGAAGCGGCAACTGTAGCTGGCAAACTATGTACAGTAGGGAAGGGAGGACTGACCTGGGACTCAGAAGTGGCAGCAGAGCTGGTTGAGGGCCTGCTTGGGGAAGGCGGGGAAAATAAAGAGACCGAAAGGGGAGAGTGTGAGGAGGGGAGAGAAAGAGGAAGGGAGGGAGGGAAGGAGGGGGGAGGAGGGGGGGAATGGGGAAGCGAGGGGAAGGGAAGAGGTGAGGATGAGGGAAGAAATGAGGAGCGTGAGGAGAGGAGACAGATGGGAACACAGATTGTGAGAATCCAATAAAAACTGGACCATGGCTGGCGTCAATAGAACCAACGGGAAAGAGGCGAAAGAGGGGGAAAGGGGGAAACAGAGGAAGGAATGAAACGAGTTGTTTTGATTGAGGTCAAAAGTAGTTCAAAAGACGAAAAAAAAACGCGTGGCGACTCACGGGGAAGAAGTCCTGCGCAGGAAGAGAATCGTCCCGAGCAGCAGGAGGGTCAGCGCGATGCATCCCTTGACGGGCACGGACGGCTTGCCGGGAGCCTCGGCCCGCTGCTGCTTGGCGCGCTGCAACAACGCGGACGGACGCACTTTGCCCATGATCGCTACAAAATCCAGAGCTGAGTCCCGAGATGGATCTCCAGAGATTTTCAAACAGTTAGGCACGTAAATCGGTAGAAAAACAGCAGTCTGCGCTGCGGACGGAGAAGGACTGACTGGAAGATAGCGGAGGAGCGGGAGGTATGGACTAATGCGTGGAGAACTGTGAAGGCCGAGACGCACATCCCACGATCATGTGGGTGCTGCTTGCAGCTGCTGCGGTGCAAGTTGCGTGCTGGAGGATGAACTTGTACGATAATGTGCGGTGAGAAGAGTTTCTGCGCGGTGATTGGATCTGTACCAACAAAATTGCAAAATCAGAATCAAATTGTTGTGGAAAAGCTTGGACAATTCTTTTAAAACAAGTTTAAAGCATTTTTTATTTATTCATGAATTTATGCTTGTTGAATTACACTGGTGTAGCGTTTGATGTTTTCATCGAAAAACATTTTACAGCATCAAGAATAGCACCATAGACACTGGATAAAGCTCAAATTTGTAGGTAATGCAGGGTGCTCTTATCGACTCCGCCCAAACGCAACAAAACTTCAAAAATGCCTTGGGAATTCCAAAACTCCCGCCACGCCTCGAGGTCAGCCGAATCGTTGGCGGGAGAAATTTGAACCAGAAAGGCCGACTTGGCAGGATCAAGGACTCTGACAGGCAAGGGTTGGTGTGGCTGGAGTGCAGCCTGGAACCTCCTTCACCTCTCACTCTCTCCTCTCAGCTCGAGCCAGAAGCCGAGGCTTCTCAGCTTCAGTGTCATTGTGTCACTGCGCCTTTCTTAGGCACCCTGAGCAAGTAGCTACTGCTTTCTTAGCGTATTCAGTTTCCGTTAGGAAGTAGATTTCCGTCCGTAACAGCAGACAAAAGGACGCAAGGGTTGATAAGGCTAAAGTGTCAACATATGTTGTCAACTTATCGTGTCTTAGAACTGAGCCTTTCGTCCAGTAACCTAGTGCGAACTAAATCGCTGTTTTTGTGCTGAAATGATAAGGCTGAACCATTTTTCCGCCAACCCTGTGGCTTGTTAACTTCAGCCCTTACTACGGACTAAGTTATTTATACACAACTTTAGAATGCATTCCGGCGTAGGCAGGGGAGGAGAGGAAGATGCAGGAAGCAGGTTCACGAAGATTCTCCTCCCCGAGAGAGATCTAGCCCTCAACTGGACCATCGACGTGGCTAGCGTATTAGGCGAATACCTGAACGAGTTGCAAGGTGCAGCAAGCTCGCTGCAGGACGGTGCCACCCTGAACTTCGTGGAAGGTGCGAAATCACTGATTTTGACAGGCTACGTTTGACGTATTGGTGCTTAGATCCATGGATAGGCACTGAAGGAGCTATATTGAGTTTTGAAAGACAGGTAGAGGGGAGTAGAATACTGATAGAGCTGGTACGCGATCCTGTTCGTTGCTCTCGTTTCACTTAATACTTGAATGTATTCTGTTCGTCCTGGCAGCGGCGCTGGTCGTGCAAGGTTCGGCGGGGATCTACAGTCGCAAGACGGACTACTTGCACAGCCTCGTGCTGCACACGCTGACTGCTCTCACGACCGGGTGAGTAGTCGACGAAGGATATGATTGCACTCACAACCAGTCCCTAGGAATCGAGAGATCACAGGATAGTGCACACTAGGCATGATCACAGGATCCGAAAACACTAGGCATGAACAGAGGAGAATGACTATGCTTTGATACACACGTATTGTCGGAGCTAATTTATTGTGGATGATGCTGTTTGCGCAACGATGGACTGTTGTCACGGCAGGGACACGAACGGCAGCAATGACGGGGAGGAATCCAGCGACGCGCAGGGCGATGGCGGCGACGGCGATGACTGCGACATGCGACGGTTCCTATCGCTGGATGACGTGGAAGGTCAGTTCATGTACTGACTTGTGGCGTTCACTCATTTGATTGCCTTCTGCTTGACTTCCCTCATGCCACCATAGCGTAATCCCATCCGCTAGCTTTCTAGCCCTACTGGCTCCTGATCTTCGTTTCCCTGTGTCTCACAATCACTGTACCTCTCGACTTCCCTCCTCCCTTGCTCCCTCTCTGCTCCTTCACTCCCTTCTCGGCTCGTTATTGACCCAGTGGTTGGGTCCGGTTCGGAACCGTCGCGGTTGGACTTGCGAGAAAAGGGACAGAAGAAAACCACAGAGGACGACGATGACGACGACGACGAGGGAAGGCTGGCAGGAGGAGCAGCGCGGCAGGGGTCGAAGCTGCCGCCGCGCGCGCCACCCATACTGCTGACAGTAGAGGAGGAGCTGGATGGGGGGAAGGGGTCCAGTACCGTGCCGTTATCTGAGCTCTCCGCCTTCAAGGTACCACGGGTCATTCAGTGCAAAGCGGTTCTTGGGATGTGTGTAGCGGTTCTTGGGATGTGTGTAGCGGTTCTTGGGAGTTGCCTAGTGGTCCACGGGAGTCCCTCGGTCATTTGGAGGTCGTTGGGTACTTAGCAGTTTTCTGGAGGTGCTCTGCGGTGCTACAAAGTGGCCTTGTTTCGGATCACTCCTGCTGTCCCATCGTCTTCAGCCGACTGAACTATTTTCACGTCACGACTAATCCACCCCCAACTCTCCACCTCCCACCCCCGCACCCACCACCGCCCCACCCTACACCCGTTTCTGCCCCCCTGCGTTTCACTTGGCTTTCTTTCAGATGGCCGCTTTCGTCAGCCACGTGTCGGGGTCTGTTTTCCTGGAGGCGCAAGACGGGGACGTCATGGATGCGCTGCTGCGCCTCCCGCGGCGTCGTCGCCCCGCGCACCTCAGCGCGGCCGGGGGCGCCGGTTCCCCCGCCTTCACCTTCCCCCAACCGGGCCTCTCCCCGGATTGCACCCCCCCGTTTCCGCGCAACGGGTGGAGTTCATCGCCCTACGCGGAACGCGGGACAGTAGTGGCGGAAGACATGGGGGGAGCGGGGTGCGCGCAGTGGGGGGAGGGGGCTGCGTGGCAGAGCGAATGGCAGGCGGCGGAAGGCATGGGGGGAATGGGTTCGGGGGATGATGAGGATGAGGATGGGATGGGGACGGCTGGCGGGTTTGACTGCGGGGAATGGGGGGAGGCAGACGCGGGTGGCGCAGATGCGCATGGGTCGCACGCGGGGGAATGGAGCGGGGGAGTTGGGGGAAGCGGAAGCGGAGCCGGAAGTGGCGGTGGATTGGATGTACCTGGGAGTGCGCAGAACAAATCGGGATCGAAAAGAGGGAGTGGGAAGGGCAGCGGCAAGGGGAGTGCGAGCGGGAGGGGCGGAGGGCAGGGGGAGGCGGCAGTGGAGTACGACCCGTTCGCCCCACTCGATCCCGATGACGCAGGGTGCATGCCGCAAAGGCCGTTGCGGAAAGGTGAGAGGAAGCGGGGGTCGTCGCTCCGCGGGGAAGAGGCTGAAAACTGCTGTTTTTCCCTCGATGGATCTGAAGATTCTCCTTTGTCCCTCTCAAGAATTTCCATTGTCCCCCTTCGAAATTAGCCCCATCTTTCTCACGCACACGCGCCCATCTTCCCCCCTCCTTCCCCCCCAAATTCCCTCTCCCGTCCACCCTCCCCGGAACCTCGCCCCTCTCCCTTCTCCCGGACTCCCCCATCCCCCAGGCCGGCCCTACCTGCGCGCCAAGCGCAAAACCGACGGTGGCGATTTGACCAGCAGTCTGAGCGATCTGGGCGTGTGGCTGTCGTTCCCTCTGCTGGCCGGCAAGGGTCGCGGCATGATATTCCCAGACATAGAGAGCATCATGCAGCGTGCGGTGATACGCGACAGCAAGAGGCAGCAAGGCGGGGTTCCAAAGGGGAGCTTCGACGGCGGAGGGTCGCAGAAGGTAGGGAGGGATGGGCGGGAGGAGGGGGGTGGATGGTGGGCATGGGTGAGGCGTGAGGGGAGGACGGCGGGATAGAGAACGTGGGTGCTAAAGTGGGGCTGTTTGCAAAACTTATAGTATTCTCACGACCAATGGATCTAACAGCGTGCGTGGTGTGTGTCTCTGTCTGTGTGTGTGTGTTTTGTGTGTGTGTGGTGTGTGTGTGTGTGTGTGAGTGGTGTGTGTGTGTGTGTGTGTATGGTGTGTGTGTGTGTGGTGTGTGTGTGTGTGATGTGTGTGTGTGTGTGGTGTGTGTGTGTGTGTGATGTGTGTGTGTGTGATGTGTGTGTGTGTGGTGTGTGTGTGTGTGGTGTGTGTGTGTGTGGTGTGTGTGTGTCTGTGGGCCCTTGTGTGTGCACCCTCGTGCTGCTGCGCGTCCAGCAGGCAGGCAGTGCTCTGGAGCCCCCAGCAGGCAACGTCTTCGCGGACCTAGAAGCAAACCCCGACGACGGGGAACGCGCCCATGGCTCCCACGGATCCGCGCACAGGGGGGGCGCTGGCGGCGCACACGGGGACGCGAACGCGGGCGCGGATGGGCATGGAGCACAAGGATTCGGATTCGACGGGATGGATATAGAGGATGATGACGAGTGCGGTGGTGACGGTGCAGCGGGGAGCGACGGGGAGGACGGGGAGGGTGAGCGGACGGGCGTGGAGCGGCCTAGGTCCTCTGGACCGCTTGATGGTAACCCGTTGGTGAGTATTCCCTGTATGCACGCACACACGGACGCACGTACATTTTCTGTGCTGTGGATGAAATGCTATCGCATTCACGACCTCATACCCTCCCAGCGCACTACCTATGTCCCTCCGCGCCGGAACTGAACCTGTTTGATCTTCTCTCACATCCCTCCCGGTGAAAACAAGCCTCATTTACCCACTCTAAAGGACCTTTTGGGATCATCTTGAGTTTCTATCACTGTTTTTGAAACTTTTCTTGCTTCCCTCGGAGACAACCTTCTTAATCACATCACTGGTCGTGGGTGCTTCGTCATAATGGCTTGCACTGCTTGTATGTGTGCATGCGTGTGGAAGCAGCCAGGCATGGACTGGGAGGCTAACGTTCTGCATTCCGACACACCCCTGCCGGCGGACCCCTCAGCACCGCACGTGGCAACAGTGGAAGCCATGCGAGACGCCCATGTGGTGAGTCATGTGCATCAGACTTTGCATGCTCCTGTCACATATCAACACTGCAGTAGGCGTGTGACAACACATGCAAGATGAATGATACACATCCCCGTAGCTAACGCTAAACGCCATCCCTGTCCCCGCATTTGAAGCAAAGGCGTTTCTCCCTCCCCCCACCCAACCACCACACGCTCCCCTTCCCCTGCTCCTTTCCTTTTGCTCTGAGTCAGGCGGAGATGATACAGAGGGCGGCGGAAATGCAGGCGCGAAGATCAGAAGTGGAAACGAGGGTGGGGGACTGGCAGTCTCGCATTCTGCCGCTTCTTGAGCAACAGGTGAGTGTTGGCAGGGGATCTTCCAGAGAACCTTGGTGGTGCAGCAATCAGTCCTCTGGTCAGAGGAAACGAATTTGTTAAGTAGCAGCTCACTGACTTGAGCTTGTACTGTTTGGCAGGACGAGCGGCCACCATTTGACATACATGTGTATGGGGACCGGATTCTTTCAGCCTTGGAACAGAAACACATGCAGCAGGAGCAGCAGCGGCAGCAGGAGCAGCAGGAGATGGGTGAAATGGAGGGTGCGGGGCAAGGAGCGGAAGGGCGGCAGCAGCAGCAGCTGTGTGAGGACCTGTTTGAGAACGTGATCAACACTCCACTTGAATATGAGGTCCCTCGATACTTCTCCGCATTGCTGCAGCTGGTGAGTAGCGTTGCGTCCTGTGCTCCCACATCTGCTATGCCTGCAATCCTCCCATCTCTCTCATACTGTGTTCACTTGAAACAACGTTATTTTGTCCCAACGCGCTGAGATGTTCGGATCAATGGCTGGTCCTCCCCTACCTTGCTGCTGACATTGCTCTTCCTACCCTTCAGTGGTCTACAATGCGCCTTATGCACCCCTCCCTTTTCCCTCCCCTTTCACCCATGCAACCATCCCAGGTCAACAATGGCAACGTGAGTCTCTCTGTGGACCCACACGGCCTCCTACAACCCACCAGCCTCCCTCTCTCATCCTCCTCCCATTCCTCCGCCATAGCCCCTCCTGTTGAAGCGTCCAGTAGCCTCACTTCCACGGCTCCCTCTTCCTCTGCCCCGTGCTGCTATTCCCGTGGGTCATCTTTCTTCGTGCGTCTACATTCACTGAATCGGCGGCAGGAGGAGCTGCGGGGGTATGTGGCCCCGTCTCAGATACGAGAAGGAGGAAATGGGACAGGGGAGGCCAGAGGGAAGGGAAAAGGCAAGGGGAATGGGCAGCAGGGAAGGGAGAATCAAGGAGAGAGGCATCAGCGGGAGGGAGACACTTTCGCCGATGCTGCCGGAAGAGCAGATGGGTTTGAAAATTGTGATGGTGCTTCTGGTAGCGGTTTGGGCAGTGACAGCAACAAAAGTGGCAGTGAGAAGGGAGACACTGGCCACAGAAAAAGAAAGGCTCGAACACGGGAGCTCCCTCCGCTCCCTCCTGCCTCTCGGCCTCCTCCTGCGTCTCAGCCTCCTCCTCCCGTGCCGTTGTCCAGTGTGAGAGAGTGCGGGAGGCTGGAAGAGGGGGAACAGGAGTGGGAGGAAGGGGAGAATCAGGGGTCCGAGGGTGGAGGGCGGAGGGTAATGAAAAATCGAAGGGTTTTGACAGAGACTTCCAAGGGCGTGAATCGGAGGGAGGTTTTGGAAGAGGGGAATGAAGAGAAGAGGAGGAAGCTGGTGGACGAGAGCACAGAGGAAGGAGAGGTGGAGGAAGCAAGGGAGAGGGTGATTGGAGATGAAGAGGAGGAGGAGGATGAGGACTGTGGCAGAACAGAGAGAGCAGGGGTGGACGAGATTAGGAGATGCAGAGAACAAGAGGAAATGCTGCTTCACAGCAACTGCAAGAGGCAGAAGAAGGATGGCATGCAAGCAACAGGAGGTAGTGCATTGGGGAGCTCGTTAGGATCACACAGCAATGTGGGGAGTTTTCAGAGGTGTGCAGAGGCGGTCAGAGGTTCCGGGGCAGCTGCAAGCATGCTTGGGGCAGGGAAAGCAGCATCTCCTGTTCCCGTTGCACGAAGGAAGGATTCGAGAAGCAGCTCTCTGCTGGGAAGACGGGTGGCAGCGAGGTTGGAGCGATCAAGATCGTGGAAGGAGAGGCAGAGCGTCCTGCGGATAAAGCGGAAGCTGGGTGCAGACTGTGTCGTGCAGCCGCTTTTTCCCATACAACGGGGGCACGCGGAGACTGGTAAGTTGCAGAAACGTAGGAGAGAGTGTGAGCAAGTCGATGCTTGTGCTGGCAGGCATTCGCCCGCACTAGGGGTAACCATAACTGGTGCCATGGCAAGATTGGTAAGGGGTCAACGGCAGCGGTAGCAGGCTTGCCAGTCTTGACTGACCAGTGATGGAACATTCTCCTACTAACCAGGGTACCAATAACCTAGATCTACCAATCCATGATCATATTCTCATACATAAACCTTCATTAGGTAATCTATAGTGGTTGTTAGTGAATTAATTGAGATTAGGATAGAAGGTCTTCCACCTGAAGACCGACACATCTTGTATTGCTGTTTAATTTGTTTTTGAGCATTGCAGCTAGTGTACTGGTGCCCGGTATTGAGTCAAATAAGCTCTGTATAAAGAAAGATATATGCTTCACATTCGGTAGCAAATGAGCTCCTAAAAGCGAAAAGCGAGGCACACCTTCATGGGAATCCTTTCTCCCGCGCACCTAGCACACCAGCACGGTGCTTCGGTAGCCGCTTTGGCACTACGGCTTGGTTGGGAAGCCAGCCATACTTGCTGAACTTTTCGGTTCTGCAAGCTAGTTCGGTCTGATTTGGTGTGGCAATGGTGCGCCCGTACAGCTTAGGTACGTGCTAGGTGCATCTGTTTCCACAAAGTCGTTGAATTCGATATCGCAGTGTAATAGCCCAGATCGATCATCATTGTGAGGATTTGTGGGTTTGTGAAACATAGGCGGAATAAGGGCGTGTTACACTGTTTAAAACTGGCTAAAGTCCGGACAACCGTCCGAGAACGGTTCAGATTCCGAATCTCGGGCAGTACGAGTCCAACGTTCGGACTAAACCTCGTCCGACGTTGTAGATGAAACATTTTCAACCTGACGAAAATTCGACTGTTTGCGAGGTTGTAACCACGATCACGAACAGATTACGTCAAAGGTAACACCAAAGCGACCTGAAGACTTGAATCGTTGACCAATGAATTTGCGTTACTGTTACGTCCGTCCACTAATCGAACTGTAATCGTCTGGTCGATTTGGGAAGACAATTCGTGCAAAATGTTCCATCACCAGTCCGATCGTTAACGACGTCGCAAGAGGTCTAACGATGCAATTCACGAAGCACAACGAGAAAGGTAACCACACAAAAGTCAAGACGACTGCCTGTCCGGACGGGCTGAAGTCAAAGAAGCAACACGCCCTAAAAAGCGATTTCCAACCGACTGTCGCACTCAAATACGCCAGCTAGTGCGAGCACAAGCTGCGTTCAGAGAAGTTCCGCCAGCTGTCGAGAAAGAATGGTCCATCCAGTAAAATACAAAGTCCTGGTGGTGTATTTGGTGCTCACACCAGGTGTGAAAATGAACGCCATGAAAACAATGGCCGGTCATGTCAACCGCCCGAAGTTTTGTTCCACCTTCTGATTCGTTCCGAACCGAAACATGTCAACCACCGCTAACCCCGCGTTTCCATGCCCTCCTAGCAACAGTTGCGACTGCGGATGTATGTATGCTGGCAGTGTACTTATATCCACCAAAAAAAACAAAAACAAGATTCGACATTTACATCGTAAGGGTTGCGTAGGGTTATATTTCTAGTATAAGTGTTACGAGTGCAATTGAGTGAACAAACGAGAATTGCACTATCGAAGCAAAAGTACAATGAGCGAAGGCATGAGCGAAGAATATATAGCGAAACTACAGTGGTAGCGGTAATGGACTGTGGTTGTCGCGCGACGGGCTTGGGATTGTGGTTGGGAAAAAGTGTCGAAGCGGATGTTGGAAACAATCGGTCCTAAGCGCCTCTGTCGTGGCGAAACACTAAGGCACAAGCGAAGCAAAGCATATCGAGGAACCAGCGAGTCAACCCTTGGAGGTTGAAGTAACCGCTGGAGGTTACGCGAAAGTCAAAGGTCAGTGACCTTTCACCTGACAAGTACAGCGTGACAGCAAGGACACACAACTGACTCGTTACGGAGCAGTTGCCCGAGTCGTCACTGTATCGAACCGAAACAGCAACAGTAAAGTAGTTATAACTGTGTCTTTTCATATTCTGTGTATTCATATATATTCTTGTATCTCCTTGTTTTAATCAACTTACTTTGCTCTCACATACTAGCGCAAGGTGGTTCACAACACTTTATTAACGCTTCCGCTATTACACCAACTCTACCCAGAGTTCACCCCTGCAAAGATCCTAAGGGCCTTTTTCAGCCCTACAGCGGAGGCCCGGAGCGCGGGTTACTTGCCGAACCGTGAGGTCGGGGTGCGATGTGCAAAGGTGGCGGGCGGATTGTCGATGCGAGGGTTGCGAGTGGTAACGGTGCTGACTGTGGTGCTACAGTGATGTACGCGTTGAGCAGGGATGCGAAGTAAGGAAAAGGAATTTTCCTTACACTACCCCCCCTCCTAAGGAGGTCCTCCTTACGAAAGTGCGTGTACATCCCTGAAATTTCGTCTGCGCAGATACTCGGTGAGGACGGGGTGGTTTTCGATTCTGTCCAGGGGAACCCAATTGTGGTCGGTGGGTGTACGGTCTTTCCAGCGGAGTAAGAACTCGATCCTTCGGGCTTCTCGAGGGTCGCGAACTCTGTGACTCAGGATTTTCTCGGGGGTGATGACTGGTTCAGTTGGTGGTCTTGTCATGCTGGCTGAGCGATTGCGTGGCAGTTGGCTCGTGGACGGGACGTAAGGGCGAAGTAGACTAACGTGGAATGAGGGGCTGACGTACCAGTCAGCAGGGAGGAGGAGGTGGGCGGTGACGGGTGTAAGCATGTGGCTTATGCGAAATGGCCCGCAGTATCGGGGGCGGAGTTTCAGGGTGATGGGCAGTCGGAGGTTCTGAGTGTCAAGTAAAACTAAGTCGTCGGGCTGGTAAGTGACAGGTCTGCGGTGGCGGTCGGCGTTGCGTTTAGCGATGATGTTCGATTTTTTTATTGCGTCTACTGCCCGGCTCCGTACTGCTTGTAATATTTCGGCGAACTGTTGTGCTCGTGGTACAGGGTTGTCGGGATTCGGGGTCATGGGTACTATCGGGTCTTGTCCGTAGTTTAGGTAAAATGGTGACTGTTGGGTCGTGGCGGATGGTGAGTTGTTGTACGCGAATTCGATTAGTGGCAGTTGTTGTTCCCACGTGGTCGGGTCGTCACACGTGGCCTTGATGCGCTGTTCCATGGTCTGATTTGTCCGTTCTATCTGTCCGTCGGTTTCGGGGTGTTATGATGAACTGAATGTTGAAATGAATGAACAGGAATGAATGAACTAACAGTGAAAACAGTACAACTACCTAACCCTAGAATTTGTGTACCCTTTATAGGCTAACCCACTGTAGCCTAAACAAGCAGAAAATATATAATGTTTGACACACCCCCATAGGCGAAGTGGGGAGAACTGGGGGTCACAAGACCAGTCAAGGCAAAGCAAGGCAAAACAAGCTCAGGGTGGATCTCAAGGATACCACACAAATTCCGAGCACAAGCAAGTGGTCACAAGACCAGTTCACATGCATGTTTATAATAGAACAAGAGGTACAATGATTACAACCTAGCAAGAGTAAACATGCAGGAATATATATATAGAGATCACAGTACAAACAAACTCAAGAAGTAAGCAAGTGAGGTCCAGTAGGCACAAGGCCTAGAAGAGTGCAAAAGCGCTGATGGTCACAAGGCTGAAGCGCCTTGGTGAACACATCAGCAGTGTTGGCCTCAAAGGCCACGTAACGCAGACGAAGCTGACCACGCTGCTGCAGCTCTCGAGCAAGGAAGTAGCGCAGAGCAATGTGCTTCGTTCTGTGCTCTAGTCTGTGCTCCTGACACAAGGCAATGGCTGCCTTGTTGTCGACGTACAGCACTGGAGGAGAACGAGGCCACTCTCCAAGGTCGGCCAGCAAGTAGGTGAGCCAGCGTAGCTCCTGGGCCGCCATGGCTGTGGCGTAGATCTCAGCCTCACAACTGGAGCTGAGAACAGAAGAAGAGCGAGTAGAACGCCAAGAAACTGAACCAGAGCCAAGACTGAAGGTGTAACCCTGAGACGACCGCTGAGTAGCCTGGTCATCTGCCCAAGAAGCGTCTGAGTGCCCAGTGAGAACAACTGGGACTCGCCCTCCAAGCACTAGCCCCATGCCCGACGTACTGCACAAGTAGCGCAACACCCTCTTAGCTGCATCCATGTGCTCCTTCCGGTGACGGCCGGGAGCGACATAGTGTGCAAGAATGCTAAGAGGGTATGCAAGGTAAGGTCGAGTGCAGGTCATCAGGTACATGAGGCAACCCACAAGCTCTGGATACGGGCCACTCGGCTCTACGGACTCATCCGAAGGTAGAGCTGAGAGCGAGTGACCGGTAGGCAGAGGAGTGGGCTGAGGCGAGGAGTACGTGAAGCGGAAGCGCTGAAGGACCTGCTGCACCATGTGTGACTGAGTCAAGGTGATGGTGCGGCGTGCTCTGTCCCGGGTGATCCGCAAGCCAAGATAGCTTGTCAGTTCACCCAGGTCTGTGCACGTGTGTCTCTTCTGCAGCTCGGACTTCACGTGGGCGAGTCCAGTAGTGTCAGCAGTGGCAAAGACCAAGTCGTCGACGTACACGAGGATGAAGAACGGCGGCAGTGAGGCTTCGGTGCGTAGAAACAGCGACGGGTCAGCAGTAGAAGGCGCAAACCCAAGAGCCGCAAGTGTAGTCCTTAGTGTGTCGTGCCACTCACGTGGCGCCTGGCGGAGACCGCAGACTGGCCGTCGGAGGCTCCACTGGGTACAAGGAGGGAACGACCCAGAGAAGCCAGGTGGGCGGCGCAGCCAGATCTCCTCGTGCAGGCTGCCCTGCAGGAAAGCAGTGCTGAAGTCAAGAGAGTGGAGCTCGTAGTCACGCTGAGCGGCGACGTGTAGCAGAACCCAAAGAGTGGTCATCTTCGGGGTCGGGGAGAAGGTCTGGAAGAAGTCAACTCCCTCTCGCTGACTGAAGCCTCGTGCAACGTAATGCGCCTTGAAGACAGGCGGAGAGCCCGGCGGCTGCTTCACCCTGAAAATCCACATGCCACTGACGATGTTCGCCCCAGGCGGGGGAACCTCATCAACGTAGATGCCTGTGGACTTCCAGGAAGCCATCTCTGTGTCCATGGCTGACTGCCGCTGA